ATTTATATATATATATATATATATATATATATATATATAAATATAAAGATTTACCCAAATATTTCGTAGCTAATCTAATGATTATGAAAAGTCCAGTATCGCATGGACACTCCCAGTGCAGAAATTTCAACATTTATGTACACTAATATTTGTGTATATCTGCTTATGCAATCCAACTTAAAGAGGAACATTGTGAAAGAAAGTATCTAAGCACAAAAGAAAAATGAAAAATAACAAATGTCCTGTTGTATTATTACCATCTTTTATCAAACTAAATATACCAAATAGTATTTTCCTTTCCGATTATCATTTATTAGACCGGGGGGGGGCAAATATAACATACACCGGTATCTAACATATTATTAGAGAGTCAAATGATCTAATGAAAATGGAAACTAATTAGTTTCTTTGTCTCCCCAGTCTTTGACTATGAAAGAGGTAATAATATTAAGTGTTTGGTGTAAATAGCTTCGGTCAGAAAATAAAGCTGATTGGTTGTTTGTTTTAGCGCAAAGCTACACAATAGACTATTTGCGCTCTGTCCACTAGGGAAAAGCGAACTCCGTATTTTAGGACATAAAGAAGAAAAGATTTTAAGTCTGGCTTGCATATTTTTCTTAGTTTATTTAACTATTATAACCTTATAATCATTTATCATAATAAGTTTTGTGTATTACGAAGTATTAATATCAAACATAAAATTAAAGAAATTATATGCATATATTTGAAACACAAAATGACCATTTTGTGCAATCTTACTATTGATTTGTGTAAGTTCGTGTTCAACATTCTTTGATAACAGAATCGTATTAGTTCTTGAACTGTACTTTTTGATTAATGAGTTATGTAGGTTTTGTTTAATATTTTTTCATAGACGAGTTTTTGTACAATATTACTTTATGGCTACGTCGTGTAAATTCATTTTGATGGCTTAGTCATGTAAGGTTTTGTAAAACAATAATTAATTATTGAGTGATGCACGCTCTCGCACAACATCACATGATTGTTGCGTGGTACATATTTTTGTATAACATACTTTTGATGTCGAATGGTAAGCATTATTGAACAAAACTTCTAAATATTATATGATGAAAATTCCTATACAATATTCCTTGATTGTTGATGATACAAATTATTTTACAATATTCGTTGATTGTTGTGTGTAGCATTTATTATGCAATATCCATTGATTATTTATGGCCTTTATACTTTCCTTGATTGCTGAGCGGTGCAAGTTTTTGTACAATTTACTGAACGTTGAACAGTGCACTTTCTTGTGCAATTATGTTTAATGCTGCATTGATGCAAATTTTCCCCTCAATAACTGAATTTTCAGTGGTGCATGTTCTTGTGGATGATTAATTGATATTTAAGTAATGTAAATAATTATATGATAAGTTTGAATGTTAAATTGTACAAGTTTCAATTTGATATTCTTTGATTGCTGAGCGGTGCAATTTTTCTTGCAAACGTGCTTGATAGTTGAACGGTGCAAGTTTTTTTACAATATAGTTTTGAATATTAAATGATGCAGGTTTCTTCTTATTAATCTTCAAGTTTTTAATTTTTAATTTGTAATAGTATTCTTATCACATTATGTGATATGCGTTTCTAATGTAAAGTTAGGAGAAGTAATCCATGAAATTAACGAGGTTCCAAAATTTAATATTTAGTACAAATTATTATTATTCTGCAATAGTAAGTGTTTAATTTTTTTTTAGAATTTTCACGCAAAACTAAACAAGGGTTATATAGCTGCTCTTAATTTTGTACTGATAGACCCACCGTCATCTCTTGAGCTACTTTTGTCTGACTGAATAATGAGATTTGACCATCCCTCTTATAGTCTTTCTACGGCCCCAAAGTGCGGATCTCTCTTTTTTTATTTTTTGTCCTTTGGCAACATCACGTGAACCATGAATCCTATGATTCAGTGTCCTGGTACACTAGCTCCCTTCGACCACGCCCAGCCCCTAGTCTAGGGAGTTAGTGATGATTCCTTAGTACAACTTATAAACATTCTCCAATACAAAATTTACGGAATTAGTCACGAGTGACCGAAGTGATGAAGATCTTACCTGATTTTACCAATCCTTCGACGTCTTCGCGCGAACAGGCAGACGGTACACACATACCAACTCGATACCAGACGAAGTAAAAGAAGAAGGAACGAGAGGCAAGTATGTTTGTAACCTGGAAAATGATCAATATATTAAATCTTTCCTTTATTACATTGAGTGGTATAAATAGTTTTCATTGTGTCCGTAGGAGATTCATTGTTCAGATAATAGTAAAAATGGCGGTTTATAGTATTATAAAAATTATACATAGCTTTATTCTATTAACTTTCTGCAAGAATTACTGTATTTTACTTTTTAGAATATGTAGGTCTTTCCGTGTACTTCAGTAAAAAAAAAGGTTGTTTGTGTAGCTTGAAAAATTGCGTATAATTCCTTTTTTGCAAGTTTCAATATTCTACGAGCCTAAAGTAACACAAAATGAAATATCGAATGAGTAAAGTTAAACCTAGCTATAATTGGTTCATTACTATTCATGTTATATTATGATTAACTTATTTCGACTTGATTTAAAAGTTGTTAGTTGTGAGAAAGCATCTAATCAATATCTCAGAATATATAAAACATACAATAAATTGTGAATATACAAAGGAAGTAATGTTGCATTGTGAAATTATACCCAATTCAAAATATTGACTTTACGAAAAAAAAATGAAACAGCCTTGTATCTTGAAAATATAATCAAGTATGAAAATAATAATGTTTTCGGAAGAAAAAAAACTTGTAGAATATTATTTTATCTTAAAAATTATATAAATCTGTAAACAAATTTTACTGAGAAAATATCGCATTGGCTCACGAAGTTGCAGAAGAAAAGTAAACATACCGACTTTTCAGAAAAAATACCCGGATCAATTATAATGTCTCCATTTTTGATAACTTTAGGTTTTTTCGGAAGTGGTGGACGTATTTTTACTGTACAGTACTTTCCTGTTATAATGTCCGATTTTCTTTCAAGTGAGATGGTCTCCTTTATCTCTAAACAATTGTCGTAGCTCCCAAAAGCGGCCAACGTTCCTCTCATAACACCATCAGGTAGTTTTCCAGAAGCATCAATTACTGTAATAACGGAAAAACTTACTTATTATTTTGAAAATTAGATGGTTGAAAATAAATGGATAATTCTATGCTGAAAGCATTGATATATACAGAAATTGAGTTCATTATATTGTTGTAAGCTATATTTTCAATGCTGCCATTTATTTGTTTGTTTGTTTGATTGAAGTTAAGAACTAAGTTACACAACGGGCTATCTGTGATCTTCTCATTTCGGGTATCGAAATCCGGTTTTTAGCGTTATAATTCTGCAGACATACTGCTATGCCACTGGGGAGCTGTTTGCTAGAGGGAGCTGCTGATAATAATGATTATTTAATGATCGGAAACAGCAAAATATCTAGAAACAAGGATACAATTAGTTCAGCTAGGAAACAGTGAATGAACATTCACTGAGAATTATCGCGTTTGTTCTGTTATTCAATTACTTGGTGAGTTTCGTTTCTAATTATCTAACAAGGTAATTACTAACTAAGTTACGTTAGCAATACATCTTGGAGTTGAAACGTTTGGCCTACATTTAGTTGTGGACTTAGCATTTAAACGTGTGTGTCATTAGGCCTACAACTTACAATTCAAATAAACCGCCCAATGATAGAATATGTTATAGCAATATTATAACGAGTTGTTTGTCTGATTTGGCGTAAAGTCACATTGGTTTATTTGCAATGTACAACATGGGAAATCGAACCCTTGAGTTTAGCGTTGTAAGTCCGTAGATTTACCACTGTTCCACTAGGGGTCTATTAAAACGATCACGAGGCCTCATCATTTCGTTACTGTCAATGTCATCATGTCTGGTTATGCTCTATCTGACAACAATGTAGATTTTTTGCAAAAGACTCTTTCGCATAAGGTTGAAGAAGACACATTCCTCCTACCCGCAAGCGCCCCCCAGTGGCACAACGGTATGTCTGCGGACTCCCAACGCTAGTATCCGGGTTTTGATACCCGTGGTGGCCAGAGCACAGATAGTCCATTGTGCAGCTTTGTGCTTAATTACAAACAAACCTACCCTCAAGCTTTCCATTCTCAATCTAATGTCGATGGTTTCCCAACGTCCATTTCAACAATCTGGCAATTTAAACTGTATTTTTCGTGTTTTAATATAAAATATTCATAAGACTTGTTATTCATATAGCAACAAACAATAAATTTTGTGCCTTTTTGATATCTTTATTTATTCCATGTAACAAATGAAAAGAAACTATTTTATTGTATTAAAAAACAAAACTTGATCTTATATTATATACTTCCAATATTCCGGCTTATACTACGCGTGTCGTTATTCATTTTTAATCTTTAAAATATCTTATCAAAGCTCTTTTACTTTTCATTAAGATTTGTTTATAATCAAACATTTAACTACAGAGATATTTTTTATAAGATAACAACGTTTGTTTAGTGTTATTAACTGGCATGAAGTTTCCTGTAAACTGTCAAGAGAAAAAATATTTTATCTTCAACTTTAAAAGGTACTTAGACCAACTTTTACATACAATGTTGTTATTGTTTAAAAAGTACATTTTCACTAAAGTAGCATAAATATATAAGTATTAAATAGTAATCATGTTACTTAGCGTTTATAAAGATGATACACTCCAAGTCCCATTTTGTCCTTGGAACAAACTCTTCATCACTTTAAAACAAGTCAGAAGAAAACAAAAATTTTTACTGTTTGGAAAGTATTGATTCATCAGTTGAGTACCCCCGCTATTACTGATATTTTTACTGTTTGGAAAGTATTGATTCATCAGTTGAGTACCCCCGCTATTACTGATATTTTTACTGTAATTCCAATAACACCCCAAGAGATTTGGGCGCTTCGGAGACTAAAAACTGAATGAGGGGATGTTTTTAACGATTTAGGTTAATTTGCTAAACAAGATTAATGATTAGATTCTCCATTAAAAGCAATCTCGTATTGTAATGAATGAAAAAAAAGTTATTATTAACTAAATATTATGAACAAAAATAATATTTGTAATTTTAAGTCGTTATGAATTAAGATGTTAGTTAGAAAAGAAAGATAATATAGCAATCTTTCTAATGATTTACTTACATTCCACGGCCCATGGTTCTAGTCGTCTGAGATAATATAGCAATCTTTCTAGTGATTTACTTACATTCCATGGCCCATGGTTCTAGTCGTCTGAGATAATATAGCAATCTTTCTAATGATTTACTTACATTCCATGGCCCATGGTTCTAGTCGTCTGAGAGCAAACAGTAATCGGAGAAGAGCACTGTTACATGAACTAGAAATCTGACTCTCATAACTGTATCGTATTAGAGTCGGTAGGTTCTCTTTCATCAAAGAGTTCACAAGATGGCGGACTTCTTTATTCATGTCCTTCCAAATCCGGGTAATATCCTCTGTAGAACTTGTCAACCGTGTAGGAAGACTTGGGAACGGTGTATTGTTATTAGTGAATAAATTTGATAATGGGACGATTTGATTTGGTTGCTCACGAGTCTTTAGAACGGATGTTGGAAGTTCTGATGTTGAAGCAATTACTGGATTTGAAACTGAAATCGACTCACTGGGACTCGTTCGAGAAACATCTCGACTCTTCGACAGTTGTATTGAAACTCTAGAACTCGACACTCCTGTATTGTTCAATAACAATGATTCCAGCATTGGTCTTCTGCGATTTTGTAACAGACCAGCAGAAGTTGTCATAAAGAATTGAGTCTGTTGCTTTAGACCACTGTGGCTAAGCAGCTGTGTACTTCGACTTAAGGCTGTCTTACTGACCATATTAGAGTCAATCATCACAGTGGTCAGATCTTTCAGAAAGTGCGGTTGTGCGGAAGAAGTAGAAATGTCATCATCTTTAAATCTATTTTTAACAAGCGTTTTCTCATTATCAGACAACTTGAATACGTAATCAGCTGATACTTTAGATATATCGTAAGTTACAACAACTGAGATCCCAAGCAAGTTAAAGAGACAAACATACATTTCAACGTGTTTCATAATTTGACTTGATTCAGCTAAATCAGACACTAAACGATTATTTTGCAAGTATGCTCACGAGGAAAGAGCTCGAATGTGCGTACTTCACATTGTACGTTAGCGTTATAAAGGCTTTCCTTGTTTGTTAAGGATAACGTGGTATGTGCGAAAAGCGGGGTTCTAAAGAAAAGGAAAGTAAAATTAAAGTACAGACGTTATATTTGATTAATTCTTGTCACTTTGGTGTCAAACTTTAACAACACAAGGGCACAATTGAGAAAACATTTTCTAATAAAAATGTGTATGTTGAAAAATATGCTAATATATATGCAGTAAAGTTGAGTTTAAAGTATAATATTGTTTTTTTTTAGAAATGTACATATTCTTTCTCCCGTACTTGAATTTACTTTGTTTTAAGAGTTTTCATTAAAAAAAAAGAAAAAGCTAGGACTACTGTAGCTCTGAAGTTTAGTTAAAGAGTAATTAACACCACAAATGGTTAGGGATTCAATATTACAATAAAATACGTGTCACGCTAACGTCCAGTTTACATATTCAGAGCATTTCAAGGAGTTCACACTATTTCCAACAATTTTCATTGTAACAAGCTTCAGTGAAGTACAACAAGACCATACATCTGGACAAATCTTCAACAGACGCCCCCCTCCCCCATTGTACTTGCGTGTCAGCTTTCAAAATCGCAGAAGTCCACTGGAGTTGTTTTTAAGTACTTGTCAGGTATATATACATATATTTCGAATAGGGTTTTTCATCACAATGGGGTTTGGGTTGGAAGACTCATTTAAATTGTTACATATATCACACCTTTCTGCAATAACGCACACAAAAAAGAACCGTTTATTAGGCATGATAGCAACATTTAGAAGAAAAACTTACCTGTTACATACTGCTATATAGCAACTGACTCAAACTTAGTTCTTCCATATTGCGATGTAGCAAAATGCACAAAAATAGTTGTTACATACTGCAATATAGTAAAATATTCAAAACTATGCTATGCTGTGATGTAGCAACATTTATAAAAACAAACGTAGTTGTTACGTACTGTGATGTAAGAAGATACTCAAGTAATTTTTCATTGCTATGTAAAAATATTAAACGGTATTACCGTCTGTAAATATACTTTTGAGGAAAAAGCTTAATGAGTTTATTCTTTTGTCGTTAAAACATTATGGGGTTGTATTTTATCAGAAAATTATTGGAATTATTATTGCTAAATATTACTCCAAAATTAGTCGGCTAAAACAAACTTCATCTTGAAGCAAGTTGGACGGAAGAACCATGTACTGGGGGTGGAAAGAACTTTTAAGAAAATTAATGCGTGAGAAAAGAATTAAAAAACAGAACTGGAAAAATAACACGAACTTTCCATTATATATTCTCACGATTTTTCAAGAATATTTCCTTACACGTGGTCCACTCTCCCTTTTTTAGGATAGTATTATAAGCACGTATGTATAACCAGCATTCAAATTGTGTAATAGATTTACTCACTAAACAGGCACAAAGGTGATAAATATCTCAATCCAGCCCCGGTTTACTAGGTCAATGTTTGTTTACTTACTTTGCCATTTTAGTCGGTGAGTCATGAAAACATTTTTCAGTTTGTAAAAATGTCACACATTTATCGTTCTATCGTAGAGATTCTAGCAGAAAATAAAATAATTTCGTAATGCGAAGAAATTGCAGTTTTAATACACTCAGCCACAGGGGTTCCCAAGCATAAAACTCCCCAGAATGTTTAGTAGCTTTACTGAGCCCCTCTCCCTCAATTAGCTCATCGAATCTATAGATACTGAGTAAATTAGTATTTTGTATATTTGATAAGGCCCTTTACACTCTTCTGCGGTCCTCAGAGGGTTGGCTCACCCGGTTTGGGAACTTCTTAATTAAGGTATACGTAACGTGAAAAAGAAATTAAATTTTTATACGTAATTGTACAGATGTCATCATGGATATATATTCCCGTTGATTTTGAAATAATTTACAACATTTGGTATCTGACAGCTTAACTTATAGGAGTATTGCATTGAGAATTCTTTTCCTCACTTAAGTTAAACTACTAATCCATGGTTTCTTAGTTTACAATTTGCATCTTAAGTCGAGCGGGCGAGAAGTTCTGTAACATATTTACTAATCTCGAGAATGTGAGGGGGGTTGAAGTAGCTTAAGGATTGGATGTGTAAGCCACTTGCTACTACTTTTCTAAATTCCTGAATAGTGGACAGTGCCAAAATGGAGATGATAAAAATTGTTCCAGTGATTATAGACCTATTAGTATTACATCAGTAATAGGGAAGGTTTGAAAAACTGATAAATGATGCTTTGCAAAGTTATTTAACAAAGTTTAAACTTTTGTTGGATAGTCAGCATAGTTTTACTAAAGGAGAATCTCGCCTTACTAATCTTTTGACATTCTTTGAAGAGGTTATCACTTATGTAGATGAGGATATGGGTGTAGATCTAGTGTATCAGGATTTTCAGAACTATTTCACAAGGTGTCATATAAACGACTTATAAAATTATTATTTCTATAGGTGTGGGGAGTAGGTTGGCTCATTAGACATACAACTGGCTAGAAGGAAAGTAGTGCTACAGATATGTTCTTGATAGCCAATTGTTTGTTTGTTTGAAGTTAAGCACAAAGCAATACGATGGGTTATCTGTGCTCTGCCCACCAGGGTTATCGAAACTCGGATTCTAGCGTTGTAAGTCCGCAGACATGCCGCTGTGCGACTGGGGGAGGGGGCAGGACCTTTACTCTTTTTGATTTACATCAATGGCAAAGATGAAGAAATGATCAATAAATTATTTAAATCTGTAATTAAAGTTTTGGGTGTTGCTGGCTATGAGGATGCTGCTGCTACTTTGGGATAATATATGGCAGATAGTTTTAAATTTTAATAAATGCAAGATAATGTGTTTGGGTTATCACAATCTGAATTATAGGTATAACTCTTGAAGGAAATAACCTTAATAGTGTTATGGGCGACAATTTGGTGTTCTAGTTGGTCAGTATATTAAACTTTACAGTTTGAAAGAGCTTATAATTCATTGTACAGCTCTATAATTCATTAATCAGGACATATTTGGAGTACTGTGTTCAGTCTTGGGCTTCTTACTTTAAAACTTTAAAAAGGACATGGCATTGTTGGAAATAGTTCAGAGAAGGGCTGTTAGGATAATACCTGGGATGAAAATGTTATCACATATGGACAGGTTAAGATCTCTCAACTTGGTTTTTCTTGAAAAAAGAAGAGTTGAGGAGATCTGATTGAAGTTTTAAGATTTTTCAGGGAATTGATAGTGTCGATGCACCTTTTATTTGTTTGTTTAGTATTTAGTGGTGAGAATGGTAAGACTACGGAACACAAATATAAGTTTGGTATGGTAGGAGTCATAAAAGGGTGGTTGGCCTTTGGAACGGGATGCAGTTTATTTAAGGTTGTTTAAGTGAAAGTTTGATAATTATTCACATGATAAAGGCTGGTTTTGAGTTCTTTTGTATTTACTTGGTTTCCAGCGGATGGGTTTGTTACATAACAGTGGATGTTATGTTATATGCTGTGCTCGAGTGTAAACCTCAAAGTAAAGTTTTAACAGAAATAGTTAGTTTTCTACATGTGGCCCTATACCACCCCCAGTGGCTCAGCGGTAAGTCTGAAAAAAAAAAACGGATTAACAACAAACAAATGAAATGTTACCGTATTTCAAGAACGGCGCTGTTTAGAATATCGAATGCTATTCTGAACAAGTTTATAGTACATGGGTGTATGTGGTTACCAGATGTTCTAATAACATTTTTGTCTTGTGAAAATATTTCCTTCTTTTCACAAGCACTTAATACTTTTTGTCAATAATGATTTCAATAAGAAACCTTTCTAAACAATTGGAAAAAAGAAGACTTTCCCACATATTTACACCAATGTTTATTAGGTGTGCTTTGCACGATGTTTCTAAACAACTTGGCTGTTCTACCCTTTGTTAAAAGTGTAATACACATGTTTAGCACGTTTTGTAATCCTTACAAGGTACAGTTAATCTCACATCACTATCTTGTTTCGTTATATCTTCTGAGTAATGTTATCAAGAGGACTAATGATTGTGATAGAGATCACGTAAACTGCAGATGTCCCCCACCCTACACACCTCGTAATGTGGTATTTTGGGATTTCAGATATCAGGTTTGTTTTCGTTACACACCTCTGATGTAAAACCTAAAATAGCCAAATTAAAAGGTTGGTTCGAATACCTAGCCAGCTTTCGGTGTCTAAACCATAACAGTTATCAAGATTTTATTGTTTCTTTCTCTTGTATTTCTATTCCAAAGACCACAAAATCAGCTCTAATTTAAACAATCAAATTGAACATTATAAAAAAAATCCTTATGTTCCACTTCAACGTATTTACATACAATATATATATATATATATATACAAGTATAATAAAAAATTATAAAGACAAGTAGGGATAGATATATACGTAACCTAGCTAGCTATAGTAATATAGAAAGTTTTAATGCTACAAAAAGTATTGAAACATTAAAGTCAAACTACAAAAACTGAGTTACTTAAAAGTGTGAAAAAGTATTCCTAGCTAGATTACATATATATCGATCCGAACTTGTCTTTATGAAATGTATTTTTTTATTATATTTGTTTGCTTCCTTTATATTAGCTATAGTTTTGTGCGCCAACAATACCAAGCGTGGGGCATGCGTATACCCGATTCGATTTTATTACTCATCAACCTATCCTCAAGTCAAAGTAGCGCATCGTCTGTTTTATATATATTATACTAATATCCTTTACGGTACAATGAAGGAATCACTGGAACCCCAAACAGAAGAGTTATCTGAAATAATTACAGCGATAAGGTTCGTCATTTTTTCTGTATGCTTGTCTGGAAAAGTCACTTACATACTTATTTACATGAAAATTCGTTGAAATAGTGAAATTTTGATTCATTCCATAAACACGAATATAGCGATTTAAGCGTCTTTATAACTACAAAAGGCTTTAGTTTCGCTCAACCACAACTGTGAAATAGTCATT